GTAGTCCATATGGGTAGTCCACTTAGGTAGTCCATCGAGGGTAGTCCATGGACTGGGGGTCAGCGAAATGTACCCACCCCGTTTGAATTGCATTTCACCCAAGTTCCTTGCCGTCCTCAGCACACGTCACCAGTTTTAACGAAGGAAATCAGCCCACTCCGTCCAGTGGCCTTCCGAGATTTTCCACCGCATTTGCCAGTCAGAATACAGCCAACAGAACAAATACAGAGGCGATAGATCTAAGTGTTGATCTGTGCGAAGACCCATCCGTTGTTCACTAAAGTTCACCAGAGCCAACGAGCCCCTTTGTTCCTTGACAAGAGAGCGACGCAGGTCCATCGGAAGATTTTATCCTAATCCATTCCAGTCAAGGTCTCCGAACCAATTTAGAAGTCAAAGAAACCAGGGATTCTAAGGTCGAAGGATCAATACAAAGAAGATTTTTCCAGTTAATAAATTCACCAACGGAATTTGACGCCTTGATGCAAAATTGCATAGATTACCCACTGATAGGTCCTTCCTTGTTTTAGTATTTACAAGAAAATGCACGGCAGCTATATTCTGGTAATATATCGAAGGCAACATTTCCGGCGTACGCTATTTGACATCGAAAATTGACACCGGAGAAACGACTGTCAAAAACTGATTTCTGAAGGTGTGTGGTTTCAGGTGGTTCCAGGTGGTTTTAGGTGGTGTTAGGTGCTTTTAGGTGGTTGTAGGTGGTTGTAGGTGGTTGCAGGTGGTTTTAGGTCATTCCTTGTTTTAGTATTTACGTCATAAATTAAAGTCTTACTAACTAACTTATTGACTTACTATGGTCGTCAGCATGGAATCGTCGATAACTAGAGCTGAAAATCCACCTTACTATTCCGGAAGCCAAGAGTGTCGTAGTATTCTACAAGAAATCCGCGAAATAAAACGTCTTCTGGGAGAGATTCAAGAACTTTACCGACGAGTTGACGCTCGATTAAATGGTTTGGCTCATTGGCGTAATCAAAATCGTCGTGAAGATCGACCAAGATAGCGAACACGAGAGGGACGAACCATTTGTTACTCTTGTGGAAGAGTAGGCTTTTGTGTTAATGTAACATCCGCTCATTTTATGTATGCTGAATGGATCGTATGTAGTCACGTGATCATTTATTTGACCCTATATCATTGTAAGTTATCCTGCATATAATGAGTTGAATAAAGAAGTTCATTGAAGGAACTTGCTCCGTGTATTTTCCATATAGTAGAATTAAGTCTTTAGTCGTTAAGAACACGAAATAGGCCACGTTCAACAGAATTGTGACCAAAGGTCCCCACGCGAAACCATTTCGGACCCATTTCGAATTTTGATCGACATGAGCCAAACCAACAGCGACGCCAGCTGAGTGGAAATTACTCACCGATCTGGCTATAACAAGACGCAGCGACAAGACAGATTACCCTCTCAAGATCTAAGAAATCGCTTGGCCGCTGTAATTGACAACGAATATCAACACGGCCATATGGCTCTGTTGGTACGCAGTGGAACTCATTACGTATTCCAACAGAGTGGAAGCGAGTTTTTAGGGATAGACTCGAGTGAAAATGACCCGAAAGTCAACGACGAATCGCTCCAGTACTTCAAGAACTGTTCCATTCCTTCCAAAGGGTCGCTAATGGAGCCCACCGTGAGGCCACAAGCGAGTTTCTCTCAGCTACTCAACCACAATCGAACGATCTACAACTACAGTACAAGGACGCTTGTGCGAATGACGAGGCCTTTGGAACCTCGACCGCTGACCACGCTAGGAACGCGTCACAAGGAAGCCTGGGAACGAAGGCCAAACCAGACATGGCCGCTCGTCCACTGGGTACGAGCTCACCCCAGAAGGAAAAGGAGAAAATGAAACCCAAAAAGCCCCTAATGAAACATGAGTCAACTGAAACTACTCTGTTTAATTGCCCAGTGTGTTGTACAGGAGCAATGGTCAATGCCGTCGCTAACATCATTGTGAACTCTTGAGAGTACAAAAATTGTCAAATCAGCTCCGAGAGTACAAAAATAGTTAAACCAGCTCCAAGTACTTCCACCGGATGTGCAGCTGAAACAGACATCTCCGTTCCAGATCCCTCTCCGCCACAGCCTAGTACTTCCACCGGATGCGAAAAAGAAACCAAATATGATTCGCCTCCAAACCCCTCTCTGCCACTGTGTAGTACTTCCGCCGGATGTGAACCTGAACCTGCCGGCCCAGCTCCTGACCAGGCCCCATACAAGTTGATGGAAGCTACCACTGAGCAACCTGACTACTACGGGTAAAAGAGCAGGAAAATCCGTGTATATAATGGTGGACACAGGTAAACGCGTTTCAGCCATAAAAGAAGTTCTAAAGGAAATATACGGTGAAGTTCCTTATCCCGCAGTTCAGACTGGGAATGACAACCTACAGCTAAAAAGAATTACCTTGCCGCTACACCTAAGGAAAGTCAGTTCCCCTGTGAATTCCAAGTAATACAGGACCTTGCCTATGATGCCATCCTTGGTCACGATTTCCTCCAAAGAAATAGAGCCATTATTGACCTCGACAACAACACTATTACCATTACAGAAACAGAAAACCCATTGAGCCAAGAAAGTTCAACCACAGTGCCCACAATGGGAACGTTTTCACCTAAAGAAAAAAATGTCGAAGCAAGAGAAAACGCCTTTACCAGTGAAGGCTCTGTGAAGCCATCTGAAGTAAATCTGCCTCCCAGAGATCCGAAGGACGAGAAAGTTGCACTCCAGCCACTCTTGATATTATTGCTCATTGCTATGTCCCTGTCCGCAACAATTCACACCGACATAAATAGTAACTTCAACTCCGTTATCCAAAAACCACTGACCTCCTTCATACAGGTGCCATCAATGAAGGTTTGGCACGAAGATGACCCTTCTGATACTCCAGCCAAAACCGATTGCAGACCGGAATTTAACGAAGGATTTGATCGATACCGAGAAAAACCACCAGGAACGGAAGTAATAATAATAATAATAATAATAATAATAATAATGATCTTTATTCTCTCAGGATAAAAGTACATATCTCAAGTTACAATATTAAAAAGATAATCTAAGAATCGTTGAATATTAAAAAAGATAATCTAAGAATCATTAACTTTAACTAGACAAATAATAATCTAAATATTATATCTAGAAATCAGCCTATTTACAAAAACATTCGTAAACCTTTCCGAATTTATTCCAGGATGACGAACAGTACCTGAGTTTCATGATGTACAATAATAATAATAATAATAATAATAATAATAATAATAATAATAATTTATTACTTATAAAGCGCTATTTACAATGACAGATCAACAGCGCTTTACAATCAATCCTAACCCACCCATCCCAACCCAGGGGAGGACATCCATCACACAGTAATCTCGTGTGTGGGAAATTAACGTCTCCTACCCCTAACCCTGCAGGAGACAGGACCTCCATTTATTCGTCTCTATATCCGAGAAGACTAGAATATCTATCCATTTCTTGATTATAGAAAGGTAGCAAATTCTCCTCACTTATTTTAAGACCATGAGTATCGGTCCGGCCGGGGCTCGAACCCTCGACCTCCCGCACAACACAATCCGGCGCTCTAACCAACTGAGCTAACCGGGAGGCGGTTATCCACCTCGCATGGATAAGCAGAAACTTTTCATTGTATTTTTCATTTTATTATATAAGCTGAAGCTGTTCTGTTGTTATTATCATGGGTATATTTTCAACATCAAAGCTGTGAAGTTCTCACCTAATTTTACTATTTTTAATGGCCTAAAGTTTATTTAGCCTGCTCTTTCATTTTCGACATATGAATATTTCAATGTAAATCATTTAGCTTCAAAGAGATGTTTTCCGTTCTTTTGTAATCTTGTTTAAACATTGTCAATTTAGAGAACAATAGAACCTCACACCAGTTCAATATTTACGTATTAAGTACTTTGTAAAGCTTTTTGGTTACATCGTTTATCTGGATTACCAACTTGACTACACTAGAGGTCATGTCAGTTGTTGGCGTGACCTAGAATAAAAGCTTACTGTGGAACCAAAAGGTTGTCTTTTCCTTGAAGTCCGTACAAGCTCGCTTGAAGAGGTCGCCTGTACCAGGGAATCGTGATGAGTTCCTGTCCTCGCTACCCAGTCGCTGTTCAAAGCTAGTTACCCCCGTCATTGTTGTGCTTTCCGCGAAAGTCCAATTTGGGTGCCAAAAACTATCGTCACAGTAGCCACAGAGAAATTATATCGACTGGGCATCGTTTTTTGATTCAAACGGTTAAATACTTTCTCTTCAGAGAAAAAGAAATTCCCTCTAAGTTTTCATGATGCGCCAGTCACACTTTTAAAGACATTTTTGCAAAATGTAGTGACTTCGAGATGTTTATCGTATTCTGCTGTACTCCAAAACAAGCAGTAAGGAACGCTGGGAAACAGTGCGATCACGTGCTAATTCCTCGTAACATTTGAAGCGACTCGAAGAAATCGTCACCAAGCATTGAACGACAGGAGATGTTCCGAAACAAAAAATGCCAAAAGCAAGGAGTATCGGGTAAAACTCGGCAGACTTTGTTTTGGGCGATGAGGTCGTTCATATTCTATTGCTACACTTACTCTCTCAACAGGTGAACATCATGGCTTCTCTTCTTCTACTTCCTTCTTTATAGAGGTAGTAGCCATAAAAAGGAGACCTGTCCTCAGCCGGGCAAACCCACCGTAGAGCGAAGAAGAAAATATTTCAGTCACCTAAAGGTTTCGGTGTGGGTTCAAACGCGATGTGCTGTGGGAATCTTGAAAGCTCATGCAAAAAGGGCGTCTAGGTATTTCCCCTGAACAAAGTGAATATATTTTGAAAAGGTCTTCCTACGAGACTTTAGTCACGTTAGCCTACAGAGATTCAGAGAGAGAGAGAGAGAGAGGGAGGGAGAGGGGGAGAGAGAAAGAGAGAGAGAATACTGAGCCCCAATTTCAATGCAATGATTCAATGCAATGATGCCTTGTCAGAGAAGATGAATTTAATTTCGGGAAAATGTTGTAAAACATTAGCCATTTCCTGAACTCAACTTTTCTATTGACTCAAAATAAGAGATGAATACAGGGTCGAATGAATACAAAAGTAAAAAGGAAACGAAAAAAGAAAAATTAATCAAAAAAAAAAACAAAGAATGATAGAATAGCATCAATGATACTATTATAATGGTGCATTCACAATAAATACTCTGTACTTTTGAATGATTTAATTTCAGTCCACAACCAAAATACTCCCAAAGGGCTCAAATAAATACAATTTCCCCCTTTTTTTGATGTTTTAAGTCTGCAGCTGCTGTCAGTCTTGTTAAAGCTCTTCGTCGATATCATATGATTTTTCTTCATCGTGTAGTCGACTCTCGGTCTGTTTAAAAACAAAACAAAGATATATTTATGTTGTAAGTATATTCTTTATTGTTACAGGGTTATTAAAACAGCTCTATCTGGTAAGGAAAAATATCACAATGTACTTAATAACCAAGCGTGAGGGCTGTAAGGAGGATATTTGGCTCGAGGTCATGACGTAAGGACCGAGTGCCATGACCGAGAGCCAAATGTTTTTCCACGCAACCAGACCCACTTCATTCAATAAGCGTTTTATCACACGATGTCTTAAGATTTCCAAATTATGTTTAAACTATAATAGGTCGTGGTTACGTGCATAAATAGGGCGAGCGCTGGATTACTACAACAAAATTATACGATAAAAAAACAGTTCCACTGGTTCTTCCCGTGAGAAAAAAAAGACTTTATTATTAGAATTCCCCCTCTTAGAACATGTGCTAGAACCCTGCGGCCGGAAGGGCTTTTTTCCGGTTCGGCTTGCGTCAACCAGTTTGACCCTAAAAACATGAGAGAGGGGCCTCATGGTTTTTATCGTAAAGAATCTTCATGGTTTTATTTTTGTCGTGAGTGGGCCGACTTTAAACTTACTTTCCTGCTATCAACCGCAGCTATCAGGCCACCCGTAAGGAAAAATGCTATTACCTTCTCACGTACATTTGTCATTTACAATACAGCGGAAATCTGAAAATTTTGGTCTCGATTGAGCTGAAAGTAAAAACTTCCAATGGCACATAAAGCCAATATTCGTTCTTAGACACTAAGATGTTGGTAAATTTACGCTTCGCGTGCAGCTAAAGATACAGGCATATTAGCCTTAATTTAGCTCGTAAATAAGCTCGTATGTTTCTCCTCAGATATGTTCTGTTTTTCTCGAAACACAGTTTCTCAAAATATTTTCTGCAGAAAATATCCGAGATTATCATCCATCAACCAATTTTTATAATCTATTTTTCTCTGTAGGCGATTGGTCTTAACGTGTCCCATGGCCGAAAATGCCCTAACAAAAACTGGGAAATATCTGGTAATATTCCCCTGATGATATTCCACAAATTTCAAACCGTCCGACCAGGAAAATAAAAGTGTTTGTTTAAAACTTGTTTAAAAATAGGAGTGAGCGCTTTTTGTTATTACGGAAGAAAGGGACATTTTCTTATTTTTTTCATAAAGTCGCCCCAGAGATCACTGAAAAATGAAATTCTCACGCAGCAAATGGTTGGTTGTTCGGTCCTGCGAGTTGCAACGATTTGTATTTCAAGGATAACAATCCTATGTATTTCTCCTAGGATATTATCGAATCCTCGTAGTTCACAGTTTTCTTCGAGCTTCGCTCTTGAAAACTGCTCGTCTCTCGGAACATGTAATAGCCATTGTTTATATATTTCCCCCAGTAAGCTGGCACCTTTTCAAGCAAAAATAAGTTGTGTTTTGATCATTCTTGAAGTATGACTCAGTATCTCATGGTCTGTGGCTCAACGAAAATCGTTCTGATTAAGTCTTAAGGAAAGAATGAAAATTAACTCATCCCTTCCCTTTTTTTCATTATTTTGAAACTATACCCAATTTAGAGAACTACACTGATTTCTATTCTTTTTCCATTTGATCTTAGCCTATTACCGCCTGTTCTGTTAATCACACTGACTGAGTCATTGCCGGTCGTGCAGTGCGTCATATAAACCAATATCAATTAAAACATCCGTTTCCGCAATCAAAACGCGCAGAAAACGTCTCGTAAAATCGATGGGCTTACAAAACTTAATTAAAGACTTCAGCGAACCACAGGAAAGTCACGTTCATGGTTGAATGCCATTTTACATATGGCCGTATATCACTTCAGTACTTACCTTTTGACATCTTAGTCCTTTGAAATAACCTTAGTGACTTCTTTTATTCTGGAAACTGATATCCTATCTAATTTAAAAAAAACTTTTTTTCTTTTCTTTTTCTTCTAGGGGCAAACACTAATCTTTCTCCACCATACTCAACTTAGTCGATAGCAGTTATCTTCAATTTATCATTTTAAGACCTATTTCATTAAAATGAAATACTTTTCGAGTTCAAAGAATAAAAGGAAGTACAGAGGATTTATATTTGAAAGTTCTTGGTGTAAACAAAACGTAAAACCAAGCAAAAAGATACCTTTGAGGGGCCCGAAGCGTAACTCCTTCTTCTTCTACACCTTCCAAACCAGCAAGGTGGACGTTCACCTTTATGCCCTTTTCTTTTTTCGATGTTGCTTCTCTCGTCGGCAATCATGGAATTTCCTTGGCTCTCTAAACTCCAACTCATCTTCCAAATCATCGCACATAGAAAACACAAAACTGCGAGACGCATAATTGAATACAGCTACAAATATTGACTCTGGCCGGTAGAATGACCTATAAAGCTGCGAAGGTTCTTTAATTCTCAAAAACCGATGAATAACAGCTCTTATATATCCTAAATTACAATATTAATCAACACACGGTGAGTTAAGAACATTTTAAAGGCGGCGAATACCAGCAGGAATTGGCTCGTTTAGGAGAAGACGCGTTCAATTTATTATTTTCAGTGGTACGGTGAGAGCTTAACCAGGGAAGCAACACCTGTTCCCTGTAATAAATTGCACCTCCAAAGTGCTAAGCACTCTTGAACCGACAATGAGCGTAATTTGCTTCGGCAAGCAGTAGTTTTAATTATTAAAACTCTATTTCCCCTGCCAGATCACGAAAACAAAAGGGAAGACTTTTGTCAAACCAAAATTTAAATTTTACTTGCAATAATTGTTGATTAAGAGAACTTTTAAGTATCTACACACATTGATTTGGAAAGAGATCAGGTCAAGAGGAAATTTACTTGTTATTTGGATAACTACTCCATTGTTTAATTTCAACTGCTTCTTATTCATTTTGAACTCCTCCAAATCGTTATTTTGTCGTCCGGGCTGTAAATTCATAAATTGTTGGAAAACAAATGAAAAACGATTTTAATGAGGGAAATCTATAGATGAAGCGGCCAAAAAGCAAAGAGAAAATAAAATCGTAATATGAGATACTGAAAAATTCCAAAAATAACATGCGTCCTCTAGAGTAAGGCCCTTGTTGGTCTAAAAACTTTTTTTCTTGGGACAAGTAGCTGTAAATATATGTCATTTATTGAAATGCAACGCTCGTTAAGACGAATAGGCGGACACCAAAATTTGCAAAAGAAAAGCTATAGGAACTTCATGGGCCATCGCAGCGATTTTTCTGCAGGTATTAACCATGCTTAGCTTAATTGACTGTCAGATATTGTCTCTGTTCTCAGGGCTGAGTGCCGATCAAAAAAAGATTTTCAAACAAATTAATCTTAGTCATAAGAACCGAGATCTTTGTCCACCTCATGGCCATTCAGAGCAAATAGAACATCTAAATCAGTTTTCCTGTTTAAAGCTGAAGTTGAAAGGAACCGGATGGCATTAAGACAACTTCGACAGAATCTGCCCACTTTCATATCCTTTGTGCAAACGATGTAATAAATAAACTTAAGTCTGAAAAAAAAAAGCTGTTCAATTTCTTTTCTGTTGGAGTATTCTGCATCATATCTGGTTATAATTTTTTAGCGCACTGGCCAACTAAATTTACTTTACCCACGTTTCAAGCCCTTTACGTAACGGACCTCGATCAGTGAAAGCCAACGGGAGTTAATGAAAACATCACTTGAAGTCTACTTATTTCAGGAACATATCGAAGGGTTGATCAGAAATAGGCACGCCCTCTGACTGTACCATGAAATATAAAAAGAATCAATAAATCACGTCTTTCTAACGAGAGTATCGCTAAATAATAATTCAACCGATAAACTAGTGGCCCTGCGATCCTAAAGAAATGAAGGAAAACAACAACTAAGGCTGAAAATGTCTAAAGAAACTGTGGTGCTGCGTGGGTGGGGGTAACAAGGTAATTTGATTATATCAACTAAGTTGAAAGTGTAAATTGGCCACCGTAACGAATAAAAAAGCTGACGTTTCGAGCGTTAGCCCTTCGTCAGAGCGTTAGCCCTGCGGCGTTAGCCCTTCGTCCTTCGCTCTGACGAAGGGCTAACGCTCGAAACGTCAGCTTTTTTATTCGTTACGGTGGCCAATTTACAATTTCAACTTAGTTGATATAACCGAAGTAAAACAACAGTCGTGTAATTTCGTTTGTGGCTCATAAAATCCAGTCCAGATTCCTGTCTACTCTGGATTATTTATAAGGCCGTTAAAGGTAGGAATGGAATTCATCAAAAATGAAACATCAGTTTTTGAGCAGAATTGCTCACCAGCCATTCTATGAGAAACTCTGTACAACTAATAACTGGACAATGTGGAAATGTTGGGAATTGCAAATGAAATATGACACTAAGGTGGATTTCAAATCAGCCTATGAACGTCGCAAACGATGATCGATAGTCTAAGTATTTTGCCCTAAAATGTCGATCATTAGCTTTATCTACTTTTCGTGAAAGTTTTAGTTATTTCAGCCGAAAAAATAATACTGGGTCAGAACTTGCGATCTAGTCGTGAACCAATAGATCTTTGGATTGGCGACATTAATTGTTGATGTAGGGTGTTTAATCATCATTTACGAGGTACATAATGGGCGACCAGAGTCACATTTGACGCCCAAAAATATTGGTGACAGCTGTTTTGCGTTTAAGGTTAAAAATCTCATCTGAAAACATATCACAAGCTTACCATTACCATTATTCCTACGATCGCGGCACTTATAACATCCAGTGCAGGCCCACTGCAGTGCACTCGCCATCCGCGACGCTGCTTCTTCACGACTGCATAGGCATCGATAGTGGTATCACATTGAAGAAAACTGTATTTTGTGTCGTTTGGCAATGCCTGCCGCCAAAATTATCATTCCTCTTTTACGATCGCGGCACCTATAACATCTTACGGGCCACTGTTTTTTCACGACTGCATTCCATCATCACATCGACGATAACTATCTTTTTGTGTCGTTTTAGCAAGAGAAATATGGTGAAAGAAAGAGAATCTGTTGGTATGTTTAGCGGCTTTCATTTGGAGTCATTTCAGACCTGATTTCAGTCATTCAAATGTTGTATTGAAAATCTAATGCTATGGGGTACTGGAGGAGATCATTCCATTTAATTGAGGATACGAGCGACAGACACTGATAGGTATCTGGGACTTGAAGACTGGCTGCGTGTAGTTGATGGGGCGGTAATGCCTCTCCCCCAGCTGACATTCTCTTTCTATGGCTTTGGACACGCTTTAGTTTTATATGGAGCTATTCGTGTGACTTATAATTAAGAGGCTGTCAGTTCGGTAAACCGTTAGCTATAAACTAGTAAAACAACTTAGCCGTCAGGCGTATCATGAATTGACAAATTTTCAACATTTTAAAACGTTAGCCGTAAAAAGACATCATCCCATTGTGCCCCTCTGAGAATGATCTTTTTCTAATACATTTTGATGCACGTGGTGCTCAGTGTAGTTAATTTTATCAATAATATAACTTGAAAATCTCGATCAGCTTCATTTCTATTAATATTATTTATCATTATTACATAGGGTTATAAATTTTAGATGATATACCTTGTGTTTTGAGAACGTGATGCGGAGACTTAACTCATTTACCAAGACTCAATACGTACATTCATTTTTTAAAGAGACTTTTATTGTGTTCACAAGGATTTTACTACGATGAGTTCTGTTGAGGATTGTTTAATTATCGACCTGTTTGCTTTCTTCAAGTCATTAAATGTTAGTCCTGGAAACCATCAATGCTGGAAATGTTCCAAAAAGGTGTAAACGATTGTGAAAATGCAGACTTGATATCCAGCTATCAAATACAATAGATAGTGCAGGGGCAATCTGGAGGAAGGAAAAGAAAGAAAAGGAAAAATAACGCGGATAAGTACGATTCTAGTGGTCATGAAAGAAGAAGGAAATAGGTGTGTATGTTTATGGGCAGGATGGGGTCGTTTAGCGAGCTACAGTTGCAAAAGTACCAACTTTTGCGGTGCCAAATTCTAGACCCATAATTGCATCGTGTGAGTCGGTCGTCTCAAACTCCTGTGCTCTGCCGAAATCAAGTTCATATGAGCGCGACAGTGGCATGACTAAGGAAGGGAACGATTGTTAACGTCGAGCTTCTGATTTTCTTAAGTGGGGTCTAATTTTCAAAGTGATCACGGTGTGGTAATGATGAAACGTTTTGAATAAGCATAGGTTATTTGTTGATGGCGTATTTTTAGCATCCTTTTGGGTAAGTGAAATCGGATATCATGAAATTTTTTTCAAAAACTTGGCAATGATGACAGCTACGTTTTGAGTGTATGTGCAACATTTTTTTCTTTGAATTGATATGTACCCAGCTGTTGGAGTTTTATGATATAAAACTAGTCAGAAAAATAATGATAAGGAAAACTCAAAAATAAGAAACAACAAAAAGAAATTTATACAACTGGAAAACAAGACAGAAAAAGTGCATTTGAAGAGAAAACTGATGACCCTTTCATGGTACCTGTACCTTCCAAAAAGTGTTATTTCTACTAGGTAAAAATTTGAGACTATTGTTTACTTTTACCTGTTTCAGTGGTTCTTTCAAATTACGATTGGAAGTCGTCTTTCCAGCTTTTTAACGTCCTTGTTTCGGCTGCTGGTATGTCGAAATCATCTTTGTTGGTAATTTCGAAATCTTGCAGCTCCTGTTGAAACTGTGGTTTAATCTGCAAAAATCAGATTACTTAATGAACTGTCTGCTCATAAAAATTGACTCTCATTAAGGCTAAAAATTAATATTATGAAAAGTCTCGATGGGAAATAGGAAACTTCTCCACCACTGTTTTAAATTCCAGTGAACTGCCAACGTGACGATCTTTCTTGAAAGTAGCTGTTATTGTTTGGATAATGACATTGAAAATAGGTTATAAAAGCTCACTCGACCAATCAATATAAACGATGACTGTTTAATCATTTATATATAGCTTGCTAATCGATGACCATTGTCTGTCTCACTTAAAGTTTCTGTAACGATATCGATTAATATTCTATGATTGCACATAATCTTGGGTTGTCTTCGACTTGAACAAATATTCATCGATATCTAGTTGTGTGTATGGACGAATATTCTTTTGTAGTTGATAGACAGTTTGAGTTGTTGAGACGAAAATCAGTCAGGAAAGATGGCCACTCAATGTCAGTCTGCCACTGATCTAAAAAATAGCCTCGCCCGATAACACTCGATGTGAAATAACCGATCGATTTTCGTCCGCTATCCAAGCCCAATTCTTTTACCTTTCGACAAAATGCAATCTTGCATTTGGTTGGTTGACCCTAATTCAAATTCGTATGGAATTTGCATCTACTGGATGCCGTTGAAGTTAAACTTGAAATATTTTGTGAAAATAAACCGTCGAGTTTTGTCGAAAACCATTCTTTGAGAAAAAACTGGCCCAAAGATCTTACTCAAGCAGGCAACATATATCTGAGTGATTCGTTACAACCAATCCTTAACCATCCCCTCAATTTCTAATGGTTCTTTACACCAAAAACGGTATTTTTATCGCTTGGGTGAATTCAATTCAGCGCAATGAACTGTTTGTTTGAGTACAACAAATAAGAAATCCCGCCTAAAAGGTATCAGTTACCACTCAGGTACCTTATTTCACCAACCTTTGGGTTGTTTGATCTTCAACTTATCCAAGTTTGAGTCTAAGTTTCCTTTTCTTTCTTAGTTGAAGGATTTTTGGTAAATTTTCAGAAACAAACTTACAAGACATCTTTCAATAACCCAAATCAACGTTGAACTTTCAGTCGCTGTATGGACTTCAATAAGCTTCAATAAGCTTCAATAATAGTTTCATAAGAATCACTCTTTCTTGTTTGTTATGTAAATATCACCCTCACTCCTCTTAATTTGTCTGGCGTATGCGTGGGTAGAACATGGTCAATGCTGTATTTAATGAAGACAGACAAGTGGAAATTTCCAAATCGTAAATCTGTAATAAATTTATACATTTTTTGTTTTTCAACTTTTATGCATCTTGGTCTGTCACGTTGTTATTGGTTAATTAAGAAACGGAAGTTATGAAAAAATTAGGTAAGGCTTTGAATTAGTAAACAGCACTGGAAGGGACTTTTAAATCAGCCGCTGAACGTTGCAAAAAGATGATTGATAATCTATACAGTGAATTAAAATAACGACTATTAGCATCTCTTGTTTCTCGTGAAAGTTTTAATCTCAGCCGAATAAACAATTCCAGGTAAACATTTGTGACGCGAAATCAATAGATTTTCTAATTAGCGACTTTAGTAAGGTCAGTTGCAAGTGAAAGGATTAGAGCTTGTAGGGTGTTCAACCGTCATGGCGCCCGACCAAAGTCGATCTTTTTTGAATGAAGAAAGACCAAGTGTCTGCCGATCTTACAAAAATATATTCTTTGCTTAGCGTACTTAAAGAAATATCGAGCCATCTGTTTAATTTTCCACCCTAATTTTGTCAGTGGTTTAAAAAGGATAATGACACTCCCTTTAATTTGCCCAAAATAGATAACGTCAACATTCGCTTTAAGAGTCCTTTGATTTGTCAAGATGCTGTTCCGTTGATCTGCTTGCAACGAAATTCTTTCAAAAGTCAACAAAACGCAAAAAAACTGACAAGCCACGGTAAACAGAAAGTTTGAATTCCAACGGTTCGGTGCAACCGCCTCAAAACAGATCCTTTCAATTCATTCCCAAACCTTTTTCCCTTCGCCGTCATTGCAAAGTTTTTTTTTCTGAAATTACTTTTGCTACTCTTTTAAAGAAGTAAGCGTAGACTTGTATATATATATTTTTTCACTGAAATACAATGATAGCGACATCGATTCAGTTGGTGATGTATCTAACTGATAAATTTGTCATTTAAACTGTTGCTCGCCGATGGCACAAGTTAATGCGTTGAATCAGCTTGATCACCTTAACGCATTGGTAAAAGCTAATTCGCGTTTAGGCTAAAATTGCTCTTGAAAGCATGTCTTAATAGCTTACCCTTTTCATCCCTCTTTTACGGCCGCGGCTATTGTAACATTTCCCACTGTGGCAAACTCTCCATCCGCGAGCCTGTTTCTTTGCGGCTGCATTCTCCTCGATGGCGGTGTCAATTTGATGAAAACTGTCTTTTTGTGTCGCTTTTGCAGTCACTGCCGCAACGATTATTAAAAGAAGAAACATCGTTGAAAAGGAGAATCTTTTGGCTTGTTTAGCGTTTTTCATTTTGATTTCCATGCCTGATGCTAGTAGCTCTTCACTGCAGTAACCGTTAAAGTCGTTAAACTTCCAAGCTGAGGTCTTCTTTGAGTACGTTGAAACTTGTCAATGCTCGACCCAAGACGTCTAAGTGCTTAAGCAGTTGTTATCGGTTTATATAGTTTCTTGCGTTTTGTTGACTCAAAGTGCCGCATATATTAAAATCAATTTGCCCGGCAGAGAATATTTCTTTTCAAAATGCACGTAATTGATTGGGTTAAATAGCTTTCTCTATGGTAACTGAACATCTGTTTTCGAATGAACTATAATAGACCTTTTCCTTCGGGGTGTCTTTAAACAAATATCGTTTAATTAGCACGTTCGGCTAAATGTTGCTTAAATTATCTATTTGTGGACAATCACTTTAAATTTTTGATAAATATCATGCTCCCAGCATGAGTCATTTACATCAACTGACACGGCTGTCAACTTTTATTGGCTTTAGTTGTAATGAATTTCAGAAGCGAATAAACTGATGCAGACGTGACTGTATTTTTTGTAATTTGCTTCTAGATTGTTTGACTTTCTTCATCGCTTTTACCGCTGCTAAGGGTAAACATTCCCTTGGAAAAATGTTACTATAATTTCCTCATCTTTTATCGCTACCATAAACGGTTATTTGAAAATTATCGTAACTGGTAAATTACATAGCAAAATTGAAGCCAGGCAGCCTTCACGATCGTAATGACGCAAAGACAACAATGAAGCAGTTGTTGAAGAAATGAATTAGTCGAATAAAAAAAGCGTTTATGATGGCTGTTATGTGCAACCTCGCAATCTATATCTTTCCGAATATTTCAAAGCTGATATTTCTTTTTTTCCCCTTTGTGTTGCACTAAAAAAAATTTTTAATCTAGGGGCTCATATTTTAGACCTTGTTAACTCCAAATTAACAGTCACCAACACACAAACTCCCCGGGGCAACCATCAAAGGTAAAAAAAAAAAAATTCCAATTTTTCTAAATTGTCCCCCGCTAGTTTGTAAGTAGGATCCGATCAGAGACAAAAACCACTAGACTTAAAGTTTGATAAAAATCCATATTTACATGCCTTTATTCAGAAAAATCAATCCTGATTTGCGTTTACGTTTGAAGCACTTTCCAGTTTTAGTTAGCTAGTTTGTTTTTTTTTTTAAGGAAAACTTCGCCAAAATCTAGCGGAAAAAAGCGCCTCGCTTAAAAGGCTAGATTATTAAGTGGACGAGCCAGCAATATGGAAGCTGTAGCTGATTTTTCAAGTAAAACAACCAACAGCAAGTTATTCGAAATTCAAAGTGACTTTTAAACGATTAGTCCTGTAGATTTCTCAGAAATAAAATATCTCTGGTTACGGTACTCGGCATTTGGACAGAATTTTCAATTATCGTTGGTTTTTCTAGAATTCCTGTCGCCTTCGTGATAGAATGAACATCTGGTCTGATAACTAAAACCGACTGAAAACCTGGAATGAAGATCTACTCAGATAACTAAAACCTTCAAGAAATTTTCAATATTATAGACTGATAGGGATAGCTGTTGAAAGAGTTTAGTTTTTGTTTCCACTTTCAGAATTGCTTTCTTCCTCGGTTCACTCGCGATTTCGATAGGTTGTCTGTTGTATGAAGTTTGTAATGCACTGAAGGAAGCCACACCGCGTCACATACTTAATTAAAAACTTACATGAATGAAAAGATGACAGTAACCATTTGTGACCTGTCATTGCATTAAACGTATTTAGTTGTTTGCCTCACTGCCAGCTATTAATTACTAACCTACATTTTGAAGCCACAAATAGGAAATGCCGGGAGGTATTAAACATTCCACGAAAATTATTACGTTATAAATGATGTTTACACTTCCAGCGTCAATTATAATTATTTGCTCCTCGCAAAAGAGTGGTTCCTCCGTGGATAGTTGAAACTGGTCATAATGTCAATTTGAAGAAGTAAACATTCTGTGCGAAAAACTGAAAAAAAAAAAGATATTAAAAACAACTATCTTCGATGGAATTAATCCGTGAAACGCTTTCCGGGTTTGAATGAAATCAATCTCTCGAATGTCCATTGACTGACTGTTCCGGCAACTATTTGTCTGAATGGTTTTTAATGATAAAAAATTGGCCTTTTTGAGCTGTTATTTTCAATGAAGACAAAGATCTCTAGTTGCTTCCTGTGCTTGTCGGTTTCAAGATAAACTAAGAAAAAATTAGAATGAAACAGTGGGATAAAAATAATGCACCAAATGACAATTGCAAAGTTTGTCATGATGGCATTCAGAATACATGTCTTCAAAGATGAACGTGGCGTTTAAAAAAATATCAAAGGATATAAAATCGAAAGCAAGACGCAGTAAAGGTAAGAATGCAAATTTAACAAATAGAGATGAATCCGGCCAGAAAGTGGCAAATGAAAAAGCACAATTGCTTCAATTCATGAACTTCCACCCAGTGTATAAACTCATGGAGTATATAAAACTCTGTGACATTCCAATTTTTTGACATGCGCACAAATGTCGGTTTCCATCGAGAGGAGTGATGTTGAGCAATAATCATATGGCCAGCTGAATCCATCTTATTGTTGTAATAGTGTGCTTATAGGTATCTCCGGGAAATCCTTTTTGTCTTTACACCACAGACCCAGAAAGTGACATATCTGATTGATAAAACTCGAGTATTTTTCACAGGCCTATTAGAGCGAAATATCATCTGACATATTGAATTCTGAAAGCAGGTACGAGTGAAATACTAGCTTGTAACTGCGTCTAACCTGCAGATCATGCTTTTTTTCACGAACTATGATAATACTGTTATTCATCTTTACAACTAGGGGGATTATTCTTTGGCTTTGGTTAAACCATAGTTTCAATTTTGCGACACGTATTCACTCAGGCGTTGCCATAGAGATGTTCAGTTTTCATTGTAACCCCGACCAGTCAAACACCTCCTTTTTGTGGTGCGAGAGCCTGGGAACAGGTGACGACCGAGAGGAGGGCTACAGAACTGTACATGTATAACGGTATGACTTAAACATTGATCTGTAATCAATTTAAGTTTCAGCTCGAAATTTCAAGAACTGTATTAACAGTTATCATCGGATCTTTATCGGCAGTTGTTTTATGCTTGGCATCTCTTTGAGCTAAAAATGATTTTGAAAGAGCTGAATTACTAGGGCATCGTATTTGCCAACTTTAATCTATCATTGGGCATTTTGGTAAAAAAATAAAAAATAAACAAAAATCAAAACAAAACAAGAATAATAACAACAACGAAATCACAAGAATTAAAGACTAGTCTTGCATTGCAAGCGTAACGCTCTTTGCAATTGAATTTTTCATTTCATTTTGTCATGCTTTTAGACAGAAGTAGATGTGTGAGTCCATTGCTTTCAGAGATGTTGCGAGCCATTATATTCCATGTTGGCGGCGGCCTTACGACCAAATCAAATGTGATAACGATTAGAGAAGTTTGAAGGAAAACCAAGCCATGAATACTCTAAATATGAAAGAGTTTAAAAGATTATTGAATTATGAAAGGATCCACGATGTGTTGCACACTCGTAAAATCCACCATTTCCGTTGGTATTGTCGGAAGGGTTTTCTTTTTATTTCTACCGGTTTCTCATTCCTTGTGTAACGTGCATATGTGTCTCATCCGGAGTTGAATTATGATCGTTGTACGGTTATCGAAACGTGACTCCCCATGATTTAATAAAAGAAGATGAGATGGCCTCTTATTTCCGATGGGTTGGAATTGCTTTTTCATGGCCGGAAAGCTTGGAAGTGGATGGTTATTATCGCTCAACTATTGAGAATTATTAAAAACTGGATTATTGGATAGTGCAATTCAAGAATTTTTATTGGCTTAGCCATTATGGTATATGAGCCAATATACCATAATCTAATATCTTTACATTGTAATGTCCGGTTTCTTCTTACAAAATTAAGTCGAGAAGATTTGTCTAATATCTTGGGGGCGTTTTTTAAATAAAACAATTGATCCACTTGCGCTTGTTGGATATGAGATGATTATAGCCAACTCGGCGCTATGCGCCTCGTTGGCTATCTATCATCTCATATCCAACCCCCGCTCGTGGAATAATTGTTAATTGTTGTTTTGTAAATGATAGCCAACTAGGTTCTACTGACTGAATGATACAGAAGCCCATTGAACTCGAAGTATAACACTCTGTAACCGAATGTAATCGACAGTGGAAAGGTCATATGTTTCAGAACAGTTGCTGGGCATTACTTACACGCTTCTGTTAGCCCTGCTGCATTCTTATGCAGCTGACTGATAAATTCAATGTCTTCTTCAAATTCAGTTGATCTTATCCCGTTGCTTCAGTATGAAGCATAACCACTCATTCTGGAGCAGGGAAGACTATCCATTACACATCGCCCTTCAGAATTTTATTGCATTCACCTGCGCGTTAAACAGTACATTCCGTTCTGCCCACATGGGTGGAGAAAGCTCTGTTAGAGTTGAGTGTCGTTTGGAGGAGCACAGGATAAAATGATGAGGCAGGTTTGAGTACGAGCCTTTGGCTCTAGATTCCAGCCTGTAAACTAGCAGATTACTTCACTTCCAAATTGATGGGGAATTTTTTCAAACGTATGCAATGATTTTGCAAACTAACAAATGTAAATACTGGTAAACATGCTATATATTTTTTTCTTTCTTTGGTAATGTGACTAATGTGTGGAGACTTGAATTCCGCTTCAATTTGAAGTCAAATATTTTGTTTTTTTTATCCATTCAAAGTTTTTATACATTTTTGCAGATGTATGTCACAGAAAATACTTACACTAAGAATCACAAATGTTATGTGTAAGTGGAATTTTTTTCTATAGACCCGTTTGCAAGGTGCCGGGCAAAAGAATACAGATCCAAAACAGGGTCTGGTGGAGATACACGTTCTACACACCATGCTTCCCAGCAGGGGCGAAGATGGCGAAGAGGCCTCATCGTATCCAATATTTCTCATCACCCGCTAAAGATTTGTTGAATATATATATCTTATTAGACGTTTTTTTGTGTAGTATCGCTGAGTATTTTTACGAGTTGTGCCGTATTTTGACGAGCCCGTAGGGCGGGTCAAAATACAAATAACGAGTAAAAATACTTAGCGATACTACACAACAAAG